GTCCGTGAAATCTGCCTGCCAACTGCTTCCCCTGCTAAGCATTTTCTAGGCTAACGATCCCAAAAACCTTGCCAGCAGCCTCAGCTCTGTCCCTTTCAGGGCAAGCCACTCATTTAAACGTGAGCACATCTAAATGACTCCATCTGCTAAGTGACGTTAGTAAAGAAAAGATTATAGCAGGAGTTAGTGCTGTGTCCTCAGGTTGTAACCCTGTTATAAAATGGGCTGGAAGAACAAGGGGACTGTGAGGAGCTGAGGCTCAAAACCACCTGGGTGACTGTCAGCTTGATTTATTTTCTTGCTCATTAGATAAATTAGAAAACTGGCAAAAGAAATCATTGCCCACTCTCAGCTGCTTGGTAACCTGCCACATGGCACGAGATGCCGGCTGCAGGGAGATGCAGCTCCTTCCCACCTCCCTGGCCCCTCTCCCCAGGGACACGGGATGGGACTTGGGTCTGCTGGTGCCTCAGTGGTCCTGTCACCCTAAACCACCTCATTGACCCATCTGGCCAATTGCTGGCAACTATTAGAGTTTCACTTTTTTCTAAAACTGTTGATTTTTGAATAGCACCAGTTTCCTAAGTGAAAACAGCGGCCCCAAATATTGCTTTTGAACACTGGCTTTGACCTCAGAACTAAAGCAAAATAACCTGGTTTGTGGCAGTATTTGTCAGCCAGGACCCGCTGCCCTTCAGAGATGTTGTTCAACATTTTGATCTTGTGGCTTGTAACCAGTCTGCCTCCAGCAGCTGCCCCCCTTGCTTATGAACCAGACTAATTTTTGTCTGTCAGAAGGATGAAGCTTAATGGTCAGACTTGCTTTAAATCCCTGGGTAAAATTCACTATCCGGGAGGTCAGACTCCAATTACAGCGCCTTCTAACCTAAAAACTCACTGAAATATTCAGCCTACATAACCAAATGTTAAATTTGGATCATTTAAGCCATCTTCTGTACGTTTAGCTGCATCTGATGCACTTCCATAGTACGAAACGAGGCCACTGTTATACACATTGTATTTACACACGAGGAAAAGCTTCCAGCCAGGATGAGCTATTAAGAGACTGCAATGCATTTCTCAGCCAACGTGGAGGAATCCTCGCTGCAAAAAGATGCCGAAACCAGGGGAAAACCAGGGCAGGGACCTCCTGAGAAGGAGACCTCGGGGGTCCCAGCACCACCCTGCTGGTGCAAGGGTGTAGAGCAATACCTGCCCTGCGGATCATGGTTGGAGCAAATTTCCATGCCCCTTCTTCTGCCTGTGGGATTTCTGCGCTGCCCGCACAGGATCCTTGTCACCCTGTCTCCGGCAAGTGCTTGGACATGCGTGTCCCTGTGGGTCAGCCTCCTGCCAGGTGTGCTCCCACGTGTACAAATGCTGCTGGGAGGCACAGGGCGGAAAGACGGGGCTAATTCCTTCCTGTCATATGCAAGGAATCGGCTTATGGCCCGGAGCTCCGATTACTCTTATCTTAGCCTGCATGATGCTAGCCACATCCTGAAATTACCCAGCTTTTTTCAAAATCCAGGGGATGGTTTGGACTCACCTGACCAACATGAACAAATTCCAGCCCCTCTTTCAACCCCAGTAGGTTTGTAGGGCTGCAAGCTAGCGCAGACCCAAGGCTGAACTTGGGGGAAGAGGTATATGAACCCCCAAATGCACCCTATGGGAAGTGCCTGGGTGTGATGCCCAGTCCACCTGCAGGACCCGATGGAGTCTGGTGTGGAGCAGCACCAACAGCCCCTTCCCAGCCGCTGCACCGGAGCTGATTGCTCAGGCAGACTCACCTGCTGGGATCCTGGCAGCTAACGTGCCTCTGAAATGGCCAGCAAGGGATAGATGCTGTCAAGCAAAACATGGAGTGAAATGTTTGGCTGCTGGGATTAAACAGCGAATCCCACCTGTCTGCTGTGTGAGACACGACACGGCACCACACGCGGCACCACACGCTCCTACCCGGCACCGCTCCTCATTTCCCGTCACTGCCGGCCAAGCCCACCCCGCCTGGAAATTAGAGCGGGGGAATCAAAGTCCTTCTCCACCCGCTCCTGCTGTGCCTCTCAGCCATTGACATTACCACTGAACAGGCTGTCAGTAGCTTTGAATGGATTTTAATAACCCCCTTGCGAGCCTGAATTACCCGCACAGCGTGAGGTCCGGTGTGAGTTTGGAAACCTGGCAATGAGCAGTGTATCAGGGGCCAGACCAGCTCCACAGGCTGTGGACACAGGGCCAGACCACCTCTACAGGCTGTGGACCTGGGGCCAGACCCACTTGAGGGACTGTGGTGGCTTCTGCCGATGCAGCCCCTGGCACAGCAACCTGGCAGCTGCCTGGTCGCCGGAGAGCTGCTGCTGCTCTGGCACCTGCTGCCCACAAGTGTCTTGTAAGGCCCTGGTGAGCTTCCCAACACTGAGGATGCTGGTCCAGGTGGCCACCTCCATGGGACATTTTCACCTCTGGGGCAAAGTACTGGCAATAGGTGGTGGGAACCCCCCCGTGCCATCAATGAGAGCAGCCCCAGCCCCTACCAGCACGTGGCATAAAAATAGCAGCCTTGGTTTAGCAGACTCTGTGGATGGAATGCTAAATGAGATCATGCCTGGCCCAGCTGAGAGTTTGGACTAGTGTATGAAAATCTAGCAAGAAGATTAAAAGGTGTCCCCAGGCAGAAGAGGGTATTTATTTCTTTGTGGCTGAGATGCACATGGCGTGGGAGTCACAGGGACGGTGACCTCCCCTGAGCACCTGCACGTGGGCAGCGCCGTGTCCCCACAGGGGCTGATCCTGAGGACAAGGCACTGACCAGAAAAGCTCCTTCTGAGATGCAGGTGGACACATCCAATCTCCCCTCCTGCACTGGGAAAGGGCTTCCCACCCAGGATCTTCACTGCCAGCCCTGCAGCTCCTCTGAAAAGGCAAAACCCCTCATTTTCCTCTTCTTTTACAAGAGGGAAAGCTAAAAGAGGTGGTCAGGTGGTTCTCACTTGTCTGGAAGATGAAGGCCCTGGAAACACGCTCTGAAGTTGCTTTTCCTCAATTAAAGCTCCCAAAATCTGAGCAAGTGATGCAGTCTCTTTGGCTGGTCACAATTTGGGTGGAGAGTGATGATTTCTAACTGCCATTGAAATCCATACGTATTTCCAGTATGGAAGCAGGAACATCCACAGGGATATGGACAGCAGATCCCAGCTAGGGTGGGCCAGCAACTTCTCCAAGTCAGTCTCTATAGGGACTGTGAAATCATCAAGCACTTGAAAGAACTGAGGACTGAAAACAACCCCTGAAAAAAAATCTGTGATAATGATTGAGTTATATTTAAGAGGCTCCCTCGTACTAAGTAAATGCAAATAGTTTACACGAAAAATATTTCCCATTAAGATCATTTCTATATAAAATGCTAACAGATTGAGATTATGACTGTAATGATTATTTTTATTGCTGGTTTGCATTTAAATGGCATGAATTTCCCCCTACTGTTCTCTCTTTGGGTTAAATCAATAAAACCTATTAAGAAGGTTCATCTTCCCCTAAGATTCCTCCCTCTCTTCTTTCTGTCTCATCTCCACTGGTGCCCTTTTTATCCACCCACAACTAGAGCCTTTTCAGAGCTGCTTCCATGATATTGGTGCCGAGGATTTGAAAATCCCCTTTGGCAGAGCAGAGTGAATCTGGTCTTTCCTGAGATGGGGGACTACAGAGGAACTCAAGTGTTTTCCCTTCCCTCAGCTCGGGCCATATTGCAAGGAGATGAAGTTAAAGTCATCTCTTTGCTCCTCTTAGCCTTTCCCCTCTTGTTTTAACATAGAAGCTATAGCTGTCTGTATTCCTTTGCCTCCTCGCTGTGGATGCTCTTGTTGTGCTCCTTCAAACACCGGCTGTGGCTCACTGAGGAGGTGCTGGATTTCTGTTTGGAGAGGAATTATCCTGGTATATACACAGCGAAAACCATTAAGATGCTGACCTTTAAATTGGGCTTCTTCCTGCTCAAGTAGAGAGGAGGTGGGTTGAGTGCCCAAATCTTATTCATTTTAATGACAAATCCCTCACACAGAGGCTTTGAAATGCTCGGCGTTAATGCAATTCGCCTCCCTCAGCTGCAGCTCAGCTTTGCTGTGCAGGGGATGTCTCTGCTTCCCTTTCACAGTGACAGACCCTATAGATTTGCTCCATAACTACTGTGCCCAGCTACCATTGTGTATAGATTCTTGAGCTTAGGACAGTGCTAGTGCAGGGATCTGCATGCTCCTTAATCAGTAGCACTGACCTTTTTTTCCTCCATTACTCTCAGCATCACTTCTTTTTTCCTAGCTTAATTTGCATAGGTCTCATGTTATCCGTGTTTTTGCTTTGTCCCTGTTATCCCATTACCCTGGATAATCAAAGCTGGCTGTAATGGAAACAGCAGAAACAATTTGCTTACCCTTCTATTACAAGATATTCCCTCTACTAAGTCTGAGAATACCTGCAGTTCTATGGTAATGCTAATTAACTGTGCATACATATAGAAAGTAAAGCAAATGGCACCAGGATCCTTTGGGATGGCGGGGATTAAAGAAAGATAAGATATTATTCTCCTCTTTCTCTGTGCTTCAGTGTCCCTACCCTCAATGGAAACTGCTTTGCACTTATAGAATAAAATGCAATACATGGTGGGGGGAGTCACTGACTCTGCAGAGAGATGGAGCTGGAAGGAGCAGAGTTCTGTGCTAGTAAACCCACTATGAAAGTAATGATCCTCCCTTGTGTCTTGCTTCTTGTCTATTCCCAGAGTGGGGTGGGGTCTTTTTCCCAGTGCAGGTCCCCATACCTCGGAGCCCAGTGCTGCAGAGCAGGGCTGTATGTGGGCCCTGATTCCTCGGGACCACAGCTGTCCCACAGAGCACAACTCCAGCATCATATGGGTGGAAAACCTTCTGTCCAGCCTCAAGGACTTGTTGGAATAGTGGTTATAAATGTGAATGCCTGTTGCAGTGCAGAGTACCTGCTGTTGGAAGTGGCTGTTGTGTCCATCAGAATGCTCACATATCCTTCCCGCATCTTGGGTGGCTGAGGCAGCAGTAGATTTAGAGCAGGTGAAAGGCCTGGGGGAAATAATGGTAATGAAAAGAAGCAAAATTGTTGGGAGAGAGGAGACTCAGCCATCCCTCTTCATTTTGCACTGCATAGTGCCTTGGGCTCCAGCTCATCTCTGTCCATACGTGGAGATCCGTGGGGCAGTTTCCCACCATTAGTGTGCAACAGCCTCTAGAAGTCTCTCATGAGTTTCAGCTAAACAGTGACTTACACAGTCAGACATGCGTGGAGGACTGTCAGAGCTCTCCATGCAGGAGGAATCCCACTTGAGTCCACCCACCAGCTCCTTGCTGAGTTCCCCAGCTCCTCTGCCAGCATCATGGACAAACACCTTCATTGCACCCCAATGGAGCATCTTGGAGACTGGCCCTGGAGCCACAAGCACTGACACAGTGTCTCTGGATATGGAGTCTGTGCCACTGCCACCCCACTGGGATGAAAGCTCCAGGAGGCTGGTTAGACAGCTCTAGCACTGCCCCCACCCCTGAAATTGTGAGGAAGCTGTTATTTATCTGTGCTCTGATAATCACAGTACCTTTGATGCAATACTCATGTTTGGGATTTTACCACATCTCTCATCCTCCAGGTCTGTCAAGGAACTTTACACAGCCATGACTCAGAGAGAGGCGTCAGTGGAGAGAGTCTGTAGATACAGCCAGCAGCTGTCATGTGGAGGGTATTAATAATATATATGCAGGTATATATGCATGACCTCCCTTCCCGAATGGTGTCCGCTCCTTTAAAAGTTCCTTGTACCATGCCATGGCTCTGGCCATGCCAGAGGGCTGGGATTGCACAGGCATCACAGACATCTGTCCGAGGTATATTGGGATGGGCAGTAAAAGGGATGATGGGGGTGGGGGCTCGGTGCTGCATGTCTCTCCTTGTCTGCTTGGAGCAATGTAATAACTCCTTCCTTGTCACTGAAGCCTTCAGTGCTTGTTGCTCACCATCACCCTGTGTGGGGTGTTAAGACTGTAGGCTCCAAAGTGCCTCACTCTGCTCACAAACCGATGATATTTAAGATGCTTTGAAGCTGTGCCCATGGTATTCATCATTTAAAGCAACCCAGATGCAGGTTGTTGGTACAAAGGGGTTTTAAGGTGCTTGGGTGAAAGCCAGAGAGTTTTTCAGGAGCAGTCAGGACCCAACTGGCTGCTCACCCAGGGGCTGAACAGAGCCATGCTGTGCCTTGCAGGTGCATTATCCCAGCAGAGAGCTCAGTCCTGAAATACCTGAACCTCAGCAGAAGTGGGGGGACTCAGATTTGAGTGCTGGCTGAAGTCAGCCCCTAAAAAAAGCCCTTTGTCTCGTTGCCAGTCATCTGAGACATTTTGGTTCTGATCAGGCAGCACAAGCTCTAATTGTAGGAGTGGGCTTAAAAATGAAAATATGAGTTTGATGTGTAGGAAGGAATGCTTGGGACAGTGTATCACTATGATCAGATGGGAATTTCTTGTTGATTTTACATAGCTGAGTCAAAGGTAAACTTCCTATTAACTTCCCTGAGAGAGTCTATAATGATTTGACCCTTAAAATTAAAGATCTGGAGCTACCAATGCCAGCACAGCCTCCACCAGTGGAGTTCAAGCAGCACGCTGAAATAGCCAGCAGCTTTCAACAGCAATTGCACTCAGAGCTGTTCTGTCTCCTCAACTCCTGACATCATTTGGGAAAAAAAAGGCAAAGGTTGAATTCACAAGTTTTGTTTCTCTGCAGTTCAAAGGATACGAGAGCCTGGATTTTAATTGGTACTGAGTTCTCCCAACTGGTACCCAGAACAGTCCTGAGACTGACACCCAGCCAGACAGGAGGGGGGAGGCTGTTTGAAGTACTGGGTGCCTGCCACCCATCTGAAGGTACTCAGAAGTCTCCTTGCCAGATCTGGGGGCAGAGGAGCTTTGCTTCATTTCCGATCATTAATGCATTGGTTTATTCTCTGGTTTCTTTCCACTGATTTTCTCTGTGCACAGTCCAGGGGGAGACACATGTTGAGTGGTTTGTGCTGGAGATAGCAGAGATAATGAAGCTGTTTTTTACCCTTCCCATTTCCTGACAGTGCAGCTCTGACAGGTCCCGTGTCTGTGCCCAGTGCCAGGGTTGGAGCCTGCAGAAGGCAAATGCTCTGCAAGCATGGACTGCATGTCCCTACAGAGAGAAGCAGGAGTAACTCAGGCTGTGGGTACCCTCACCTTAACTCCAACACCTTGGCCAAGTGGAATTCATCAATGCTGACATACAGACCTGCTCCAGTCTGTGGAGTGCAGGAGCTGGGACTGAGGGGGTGTCAGTCAGCCAGCACAGTCCCAACCCCTCTGACAAGAGACAGAGTGTCTGTGGCACTGTGCAGTGAAGCACAGACTTATTTCAAGCACAGGTGGGATGGGGAGCAGAGTGACCCGCTTCAATAGGCACTGTCATCTTCCACCTCAACAGGGCTTGGGGCTTGAAAATCCCTTCTTGTTTGAGATCTAACAACAGTGTCTTTCTCAGCTCCCTTCTCATCTGCCCTGGAGCAGGAAGGCTCTGTGGCTTCTACAGGTTCTCTGAGCAACAACTCCAGCTAATGATTTCCTTAGTGCTTAGAATGGGGTCCCACCTGCTCCTCTCTGCAGGTTCAGCATCACTCACTCCTTTCAGGTTGCCTGCTTTTCTTGACCTCACCTCTCCTTCCTGAGCTGGCTCATGGCTTTGCATCCTGCAGGCTTCCTCGCCCCTCTGTCTTTCCTGCTTATTTGTGATTTGACCTCAGGAAAACACCATTACACATGCCCTCTGCTCTGTGCTCATTGTGCTCCATACAGATACCTGCTTTGCCCCAGGCACCATTATCATTTCCACTATCACAATCTCTGTAAGTCCTGTACAAGACAAAAACCTCAGCAAAGCACTGTCAGCCTGGCCTAAGCCAAGCTGTAGCTGTCAGTCCCAAAAGCCCAGTGGGGTGGGTATAGTTATTGCTAGAAAGCTTTATATTTACCATGGCCTTTCTGACATTACAGTAAATGCATTTCAGAGCCCAAGAAGTGTAAAAATAAACTGCAAGGAAATCAAGACAGCTAATTAGCCAAAGGTTACTGCTGGGCTCTGTGACTGTCAGCCCTTTTGAAGTTCTCCTTTACACAGGCAGATGTGTGTGCAGTGCTGCTGCTCCTTTGAATAAATGTCTTGGTTTCCAGAGTGGCTTCATGGCTGGATATGACTAAACACATGTGAGGCCTGTCACAGCAAGCCTGAGCAGGATGCTCATGTCCTTTAACCCTGCACTTCTCTTGTGCTGAAGAGCATCACATCTTGTGGAGCAGCTGATCAGTGTTGTGCTGCCTCCTAGCCCCTCGAGCTGGAGTGAGCTGGGAGGTGAGGAGAGGCCAGGGAGCTGCCTGTCTGCACATGGAGATGCTCCTTTCCCTCTGGTGTCTCTGCCCTCTGCACATGGTCACAGATTGCTGGTTGGCTGGCTGGGCTGGGCTGAGGGTTGCACAGTTATCCCATGTTTGGATGGTGCCACTGGGGTGCAGCTCTGTGGGGATGAGAAGCCTGGGGACTGCTGGAGCACATCCCCCAGCATATCATGGTCTCACCCCATCACTGCAGAATGTCCATCATTCTGCATTATCCAATGTTTTTTGAGGATGAGCATCTTTGTGGAGCTGGAGGTAAACCAGATATCACAAGAGGAAGGGGAGGGGGGGTCCAAGCTGAGCTGAGGGAAGGGTCCAATTGCCATGCCAGGAGAAGCTAAGCTGGTCATGACAGTGGCCTAGGTGGACTTGGGTACTGGGTCCAGAGGGGTCTTTTGTTTTTATTTGGGGAGGAGTGCCCTGGAGCATTGAAGGATCCCTTGGACTTTAGGCCATGTCCTTTCAGCCCAGCCATGCCTCAGCCCCAGGTTGTGTGAGCTTTCTCTCCCTGTGCACCAAACTGCTCCACACAGGGATCAGTGAGAGTTTGGGCACAGTGACCTTACAGGAACCACCAGCACCATCTATGCTGCCCTCTCCCTTTTCCTCTCAGGTTTTCCTCCTTCCCTTGTTCTGCTTTTTGTGGGCTCCATTTCGCCTTGGGAAACCCTTTTGCAGCTCCCTCTTCCCTCTCTGCCAGTTTCTCCTCTTTCTTCCTGCTGTTTCATTCCTGCTTGCAGCTTGTGCAGAGTGTCATGTGCTTGGTTAACATCGCTCCTCCTGGAACGTTAATTTGCTGCTTGTTTCCTTACAGACTTTACACCACAAGTTGGGGCTTTGTGTGCATGTGTGTGTGTGATTCAATTAAACAAAACACAATAAAATCAGGGAAAATAGAGAGAGACAGACAGACAGTGATTCCCTGCTCTCTGAGCTCAGCCCCAGTGTGGCTTTCTGATGTTGCCACATGGATTTGCTTGTAGCAGCCCTCTGGATCTCATGCTTGGGTTTTACATCCCTCTGCTGGGACTCTGGGACAGCAGCTGCTTCTGCTCTGCTGTCAGGACCTGGGGCTGCTCCATCAGATGAGGTGAACCTCAAAGGAGTTTGCTGTTCATTTTAAATAAGCCCTGAAATGCTGAGGCGTCTCCAGATGCTTGGCCTCCTCCATCCCTCCTTTTACTCTCTACAGCTCAGTCCCAGCAGCCCTCAACATCCTCCAAGCCTCCCCCTTCCCACCTTCAAGCCAGCAACTTCCCTACTTCCCAGCAACTTCCCTGTCCTGCCCTACCCATGACCCTTGTCACCCTCGTGGGTAGCAGATTCCCCCTGTGCTAAGATTAAGCTTTCTCCCAAATCACACATTCCCCTTGTAGTGCAACCTGAACAGCAGCTGCTCTGTGGTGGGCTTTCTTTCCTTGCCTGGCTGGTGGGCCTTCCCTTCCACTGCTCTGTGCCTCTCTCTGTCCTGCCCTTCCCTCCCTTGCTGCCTTCCTGCATTGTTTTCTTTCCCCTTTCCCCCTCTAATCCATTCATGCTGTGGATGTGTTCTTTCATAGCATTCTTTGCTCCCAGTCATCTCCCTGGCGGGTTTCTCGCCTCTCCCAGTGCACGCGGGCGTGGGTGTCTCGCTCTCCTGGAGAGCCAGTTCCTGCTCCCTCGTCCTCGGCTGGCTCCCTGGCTCTGCAAATTTATTCTGTGAATCCAGCCTCTCTCCCCGGGTGAGCCGCTGGCTGTAAATCTTGACGGCTAAAGTGGGTCAGCGCGAGTGGAAGGAGGTGGTCCCGGGAAGGGCAGAGGGAGAGCAGGCATGAGAGGCCACTGCTGCCAGATTAACAGGGCGGGTGGGAGAGGAGCAAGAGATGTTCTTAAAAAAATTAAGATTTCAAGGGTTTTAAAATGCACATGAAATGTGATTAACGAAATCCTGGCACTCAATACCCTCTCCTTAAGAAAAAACGCTGACAGCAGAAGCGACCTCACCCCTTTCTGATAGCAGCCCCTGCCACACAGAGCCTTCCCTGGGATGGGAAAGGTCCCACCTCTGGGAGGGGCCTTTTGCTGCTGAAAGAGACATACTCCAAGCAGGGCAGACTCTGATCAATGTATTAGGGCTTGTGCCCATTGAGCAGGGCAATTGCCTCTTGCCCAGATGCCCACCAGCCACCCTCAGGTGGGGCTCCAGAAATGCTGTAGGGAGACGCTCCACGCTTTGAGCCTCTGCCCTCTGTCCCTTCTGCATAACCTCAGAGCTCCTTCTTTCACATTTGGAGGTCTCCTTCTAGTACCAAGGGGCTATCCTTATTTTTGACCTATCCAATGCTTAATGAAACAGCAAGAAGAGGTGGCACTCCTCATCCTCTGGGTCAAGGCAATTGTGGTGGCTGTGAGATGACACTGTCCCTGACTCCTGTCTCTGGTGTCTGCATGTCCAGCAGAGGCAGGGTGGATATAATAGCATACCCCACCTTCATTTTGGCTCCTGGCTTTCACAGGCTGAGGTTGTCCTGTCACTTAGTCTGTGTGGACCTTCTTGCAGAGCAGAGTCAAAAGATAGGGCCAACTTTCCTGGCGTGCAACAAGACAAGGAGCTGCCTTGTGGAGCAGAGAACCCAGGGCTCATCTACCTTCCTCCTAAGCTTGACCAATGCCTCTACATATGGACCTGTGGTTTCCACACTTTTGCCCTCATGGACCACACGCATCCACAGCACAGGAACAATTTTTAGCTGACAACGGTTCTGCAGAATTTCCTGTGCATGCAGCCAATGCACCTGGAGCCATTCCCAGATGTCTCTGCTCATTAATGCCCCCTTAGCAATTTTCTGAGGACCAGCATCCATCTCCAGCATTAAAAACAGTCCCTTCCTCTTTGATTTATGGATATTAATCCATGCCAGCAGGCAAGAGGCATGACATGTCTACATAATATATTCATTATTAAATTGTTTTTGTTCCTTTCCTTTCTCCTCCATCTCCAAGGCTGCACCTTTCTTATTTCTCCATAACATTTGAACCTTTGTGCTGCCCTCAGAAAGACAACTTCCAACATGAAGCAGTCGGCATCACTTGGTAGGTCAGCCTTACAAGTCTGTGCTTCCTCATCAGTGGCCACACCAGAGTCCAGCAGAGAGAACACCCTCTTAGCCTCATCTCCAAGGGCAGGGCTGCTCCAGAGCTCTGCTCAGAGTAACTGATGCTGTGGCCAGGGCTGTGGGATGTCAGTCCCACATCACTTGTGCTGATCATTGCACAGGACAGGCCAACTGCATGAGCCCGCTGGCAGCTGTGCCTGAAACAGTGCCCAGGCAGGGATCCAGCAAGTGTGAGTTTCTTCTGCAGCCATCCAGATGCTGGCTCCAAATCAGTAATGGCTAATGCTGTCCAGGCCTCTGATGCAGGGACTGAAACCCAGATAAAAGAATGTTCCCTCCACCGGCTCCAGTCCTCCAGCTGCTCAAGCCACACTCCTGGCTCTGGGTTGGCAGCCACCTTCTCAGCTCACTGATGACTTTTGTGGCACCGTGCTGTTCCCAAAGTACATGACAGATCAGATTTAGCAGCCAGCACTTGGCTTCTAGTGATCTCACTGTACTGTGGCCTGGGAAGAGAGGAAAGAAAGATCTCAGGACCTTGGCATGGGGCTGCTTTAATTTTCCTTTCGTATGTCTGTGCTGTATGAGAATTCAGCCTGCTCTGGACCCTCTGGACAGCCTGGATGCCTGGTGGCAATGTTCTTCATCCTGCTGAGGTACATCCTGCTCCCCCATGGCAATTTCTGCAGACCCACCTCCTTCCTCCAGTCACTTGTTCTGGTCAAGGAGTGGAGGGCAGGCAGTTTTGGGGATCCCATCCTTCTACTTCCAGGTCCCTCAGCACATGCCTTGCACATCTCTGGACCTTGCTATCAGGAGTGGGACAGCTGTCATGGGAAAGTGAGGTAGTTATCTCAGTTATCCCCCTTGATAATCCAAATCCAAGAAGTCCCTGCAGCTCCTACACCTGTCCACCCATCTGCCCTGGATCATACTTTCACCTCTCAGCAGTACCTTCACAGGGACAAGTGACAGGTGACCTTTACAGGACACTGCACTGGTGTGCTCTGTGCACATTGGGTCCTGTCTGGAAGTTGTGCTTTTTTCTGTTCCTTAATAGTAATGGAAAGACAGGCTTACCTGAATGGATGTGCCCCTTCTAACACAGCCTGTCCCATCCTTGCTTTTTATCTCCACCCAGGCATATCCAGGTTTCTTCACCCAGGTTTCTCCAGACCTCCTGTCACTCTGCCATAAAACAGCAGTTAGAGGAAAAGAATGCAACTCGAAACTGATGGTATCTCTCTTTGCAGCCTGGCTTAGCTGAGCCTGCCCCGAATTTCCTCCCTCTCTCCTGCCCACAGCCAAAGAGATTGTCCCCCCTTGGTACTGCCCACACATCCCTGCAGCGCCTCCATCTCCCACTGCTCCCAGGAACAGCAGTGAGGGGAAGCAGCAGGACATTAGCAACTTCAGGAGCTCAAGAGCAGCTTGAAAAATATTTGTGTTCTTTTGGTAAATACGAATTTGTCCCAGTGGTAATAAGGCTGTTTTTGTTCAGCAGGCTCTTAGCAGTGATTATTGTTGTTTTTCAATTTAAAAACCAGACGGTCTATTTATAATGTATAGTATGTGGACTGAGATTTTTTTTCTTCTCTTTAACCCAGCCTTTAAAACATGCTCTCATTTCCACTACTGCAATGCAAGGAAGCAGAGGGTTATCTGCCACCTGCAGACCCCATGAGCTGAGTGAGAAGTAAAACATAGTTAATGGAGCAAGGCTGCAGTGATGCTTTGGGGAACTGGTGAAAGATGCCAGGTGGGAAAGGTCTGGGGATGTAGCTGGGAAGTGCTTTTGGGAGTGTTGGAAGGGCTCTGGACAGGTGCAGAGTAGTTGGACTATCTATGGCCACACTGCTGTCCATTTTTTTCTCTCTTGTTCAAAGCAGGGGTTGATCAGAGCTGACATCAGCACCATCCGCAGCACTGTCAGCGCAGAGACCAGGAGAAAAGCCAGACTCCAGTCTTTGGCACAGGCTCCAAGTTGGCAAAGACCCCTGAGAAGTAGCTGATGCCCATGGGTGCAAGCTGATGTTGAGAAGGACAGTGGTCCCAGGAGTGCATTAAGGGACCAACAGAACATTGACGTGGGTTCTGGCCTGGGCTGACAAGCTCTTGCATGCACTGTATGAACATCTCTACATGTTTTGGGCATTGGCCTGGTGTTGGGCTGGCATGGCCCCTTCCAGTCTAACAGCACGCCAGCCCTACATGCTGGCCAGCTGCAGGGCTTGCTTTGAATTGCCAGTGCCAGACATTAGGAGGCATTGGACACTGAGCACAGAAATGTTGTAAGACAGCTTGTTGTGGCAGCCTTGAAGGCGAAGTTTTGGGTGCTGTTGAATGCTCCCATACAGGATGTGGACTGCTTTGGCACCTGGGTGCAGTGCTCTCTGTGCACAGTCCAGCATCACCACCAGGACTGAACAGGAGAGAAAATTCTCACTTGCATGTGAATGAGTCCATGTTGGCCAACCTGCAGCTCACCTGTTGACCTAAGAAGCTTCTTGTGGCAGACTTTGCTGTAGACAGGTGCTCTGAAGGCCAGGCTACCTTGAGTTTGCAGCCAAGCTGGAGGCCATGACTCTGCTGCCTCTGCCATGCTGAGGCTGCTGTTTGTTCCCCTTCTTGCTGCAGCTTATCTGACAGTGTTCCTGTCTCCATTTCCCCACACAGCCCCTTCTACTGCCACCGTTTAGTTATTTTCTTAATTAAATATAGATTATGGCTTTGGGAATAAGGGATTATTACTTATTCATAAGCTACTTAGATTTTAAAGTGTGTGCAGAGTAGGGCTTATCACACGTCTGTCTCTGCATCATTACCAAGGCAAGGGCCAAGGTGAGCTCCTAAGGCTGTCAAGGCTTTACCCAAACCTCTCTTCTCTTCTCTCCTCACAACCTCCACACCTGAAGGAGCTCTCCCATCTCTTCCTTGCCGTCCCTTTTCCAGTTGAGGCTTGCCAGCCTTTTCCCAAGGAAACCATTTTCACTGCCCCCTCCCAAGCTATTCCAGCCCCTCCATCACACCTCTGCTTTCCCCTCTTGTCAGGTTTGTTTGCAGCTCTCTCTGGATGCTTTCTCCAGCCCTCCTGCTGTGCCAGCAGCTGAAGCTCAGCTGTTTCACCTGCCCCCTGCCCCTCCACAGAAAAAAAGGGGACTTATCAGGAAGCAACTCTGCAGGAGGTGCTTTTGCACCCCTCCTAAGAGGCAAAGGAGGAGGCAGGGGGAGGTGCTGTTGGCAATCTTGTGGAAGAAGCAGAGGGAGGTGAGTGTGATAGGAAGGTGGATGCTGTTATAGATCTATAATGTTTGTCCAAAGCCTTGTGCCTCTTCACAGTGTGCCCAAGCAGAAGGGTTGGGAGTTGTTCCTTCCACCCTAGAACAAGCAGCAGCTTCCCAAGATTCTTTTTCTGCCCTAAACAGTGGAGCAGTCCAACCTCTGGGTAATAATAACAACAATAACAGTAAAACCATCTCACCTGGTTTGTGCACACCAGGGTGGATTTCTGCCCATCTTACTCCAGTTTCTGCTGTCCCCAAATAGTGCCATTAATGCCTGATGCTGCAGGGCTTCTCCTGGTCTGCTGGCAAGCCCCCAGGTGGGAACAGGGCAGCTCATCACATGCTGACCTGAAAGGAAAGAGGGGACCATTAAATCCCAGTCCTCATCTCCCCTCCATCCCCCTGCTCCAGGGCTGTCCCCAGGGCTGCAGCAGGGTCCCAGCATCTCTCAGCAAGTATCCCTGCTCTCACCCTCGGGGAACCATTAGCATTCCATCTTCGTTGCTCCTTCTCCTTCTGTGGTTTCTGCTCCTTGCCTGGCTGAGGTGGCAGCATGAGGCTGTTTCTGTGTGAGCCAGCCTGTCACTTCCACCCTCCACTGTCCCCATGCCTCCCATGTAGTTTTTTCCGACTATTTTAAGGACTAATGCAAAGCCCTGGCTTGATAGCCCTGAGGTCTAAAGACCTTTTGTCAACAGAGCAGATACAAGACAAGCTGCTGCAAGATTCCTCGGAGCAAAATGATCTTGATAAATTGGAGAAATGGCCTGAAATCAATACACTGAAATTCAATAAAGTCAAGTGCAAAGTGTTGCACTTAAGGAAGGCGATATCAAAATCGCAGATATAAGATGGGGGAGGACTGGTAAGCCAGCAGGAGAGTGGCCAAGGCTTGAGTGGTGGAGTAGCTTTCAAACTGAGCAGCAAACCTGGTGCTTTGGGAAGGGAGAGCAAAGGCACAACTTGCCCACAGATGTATTAATAGTTTCAGATGGAAGACAGCAAAGTAATTTATTTGGCTCTATTTAGTGCTAGTGAGGCATCAGCTGGAGACATATATCTCCAGGTTTTGGCATCAAAACTCTGAGAGAGATTCAGACAAATGGAGTGAGTTCACAGAGTTTGGAAAACATGCCCCAGAAAGATGGACTGAGGGAGATGGTTTGTGCTCCAGGACAGAAACAACTGAAGGTGGGAGGATGTATAACATTCATCAGTGTGGAAAAGAGCAGTTATAAAAATGATGGTGATCAATTTGTCAAGGGTTGGACAAGCTGTAATAGGCTTAAGCTGCAGCCAAGAGGTCTTGGGTTAGATGCTCAGGAAAAGCTTCCTAAGGACAAGGTTGGCTGAAAGCCTGTGCAGGCTGTAAAGGGGGTGTGTGGGAGCCCTGTCCTTGGGAGAGCTTCAACAACCAACTGAAGAAGTATCTGCATGGAGGTCACCTCCATAACAGGGATGAAGTTTCACCCCAAGCAGGATTAGCCCTGTCCTTGGGATTACCAGGTGGAGACAAGCAATTTGCTTTCTCATCTCATGCTCTTACCAGCCATACCAGGGCACCTAGGTATATTTAAACACACATTAAATTTATCCACTTCTCTGTTTGGCTTACACCACAGAGTGGAAAAGCAAATAAAAGAAACCAGAGAACGAAATGGTCAAGGCACATATCTCTAAGGATGCTTTGCTTGTCTGGACCAGCCACATATCCCCATGGCCTCAGCCCCACTGAGGTGGGGTTTTTGGTAATTTGGTGGCTAGCTGCAACTCTCCTCCAGATCAATCCCTCTCAATTGCCTTTTTTGATCATAATTAATGTTTGCTGTGTAATTACATTGATTTTTAATGTACTCTGAGAGACGAGGGGAATTCATAGCCTGAACGTGTGAGTGAGGGAAGGGGCGGGACGTTGACGCTCGCTGTGCTGAAGGGGAGAGTGGCGAGGGCTGCACCGAGGATGTGCAAGGAGGGGATCTGCTCAAATACCCCGTGTTACACAGGGGTGTTACCGAGCTGCAGTGACAAAGGGCAGGACACGGAAATGTTTGCACTGCTGCTTCTTTATTCCCCATCCAAACCTCTCAGCCGGCCCCTGCTTGCTACCTGCCAGCCCTGGTTGTCTGCAGCCCCAGCAGCCCTGTTTCCATTACCGAGCTCAGCAGGGAACAGGGTTTTATTTATTTACTAAGTCACAGTGGGAAGAGGGATTTCAGGGCAGCCTGAGCTTCCCAGAGCTGTGAGTAGTGGATAAAACCTCCTCCAGCTTTGTACAGGGAGGCTCCTGCAACGAAGAAACCTCAGCCTGTGGACAGCCGAAACTGTCCCCCCACTACTCCTTGCTCACTCATGCTACCAGCAGCCTTGTCATGAGCTTGTAGAAACGTAAGAGGCACCTGTAAGCCTCCCAGGCTGCTCTGTGCTTTCGGAACAGCCTAACTGTTACAGCCAGCACCTGCACAGCAAGCCCTGGGAGATGCTGCAAGGAGGCAACTTTCGGTAGGAGCTGCCTCAGCACTCAGGGCTGTCAAAGCCATGAGGATTTGAGTGCCAAATGAGCCACTGAGCATTGGCTTAAGGATCCCCTTACTCATGGTAAAAACTACCTGGGGGGTGCTGGCCTCCAGACCTTAAGATTAAGGAGAAGGATTCTGGGCTTTCAGCCATCCGGGGGTGTTGATGCCTTCTGGGTTTTGGTTTTTTTTGCTGTGTCCACAGCTGGCAATGCCAGGGCTGTGGCAGCTCCCCATGCCTCATGCCACAGCACCAGTGGTGACATCTCTCAGCCTGCATCTGGGATGCTGCAAATGTGCAAATGTTTGTTAGAGCAGGGATGGGCAGGGCAGGTCCCCACAGCAGCTGTGTAAATGGCAGAAGGGCAGTTTGTATTCTTGCTGCCAACAGCCCCCTTGGGCTCAGCAAATACCAGAGCAGTAAGTCACTGTGGTGGCACGTGCTGCTGTAAAGAGCTGCTGTAAGAAGAGGACGAGCCTTGCCTGTGCCCCCATCATGGAGCAGGCAGCTCCTGGGCTAGAGCTGGAGGCAGCCACAGAGTGGGTGCCCAGCAAGGACTGGGGTGCAAACACTGCCCACAGTGCTGATGGAAAGGCCAAATCCCCTTTGACACCTCCTCTTGCCGTAAGGTCAGAGTTGAGTTGGCAGCCCAGCTCTCCATGTGAGTGCCGGCAGCATTTCTTCAGGTGAACCATTGCAAACTCATCACCTGCTCATCTCTGAGCCTTCCCCTTGTTTGAAGGGATGTCTCTCATATTTTTTTCATGACATCTTGTTTTCCGTTGCCTGTTAATTACGTGCCCTCCAAGCATCATTCTTGCCTGAGCTGCTCAGAGGAGGCCACATGGCACCGGCTCAGCATTGCCCAGATGAGAACGCTGTGACAATCGCTGCTGAAAAGCAGCCTTGTAGCGCACAGGTGTTGTTAAACAGCCACAGATGTTATACATTTTTTTCAACTAAAACCCCATAAATTAAAAAAAAAAAAACAACAACCAAACCAAAATGAGGCAAGGGCTTTGCTCAGCAGAGGCAAAGGAGCAAGTTGTCAGTGGCATTGTGCTGGGCACAGTCACCTCTCCGGGCAAAGGATGCTCAGCTGGTCACACAGTGCAGCAGCCAAACATCTATGGGGACCTTGTGTTGCAGCAGAGGTGAGAGGAACGTTTGATTTCTGTGTTGGCAAGGGGCTGTCAGCCCTGCTGCTCCCCCCTTGTCCCAGTTGGCATTATGGAGAGGTAGGACCAGTGCTGGAGCTGCAGCTGTTGATGGCCACCTCGTTGGGTGGATGTTGCAGGAATTGGGAGTTAGCCCTTTAAGTAGGCTGCAAGCCCATCAATACAACAAAAGTTTTGTCTTTGGGGTTTGACAGCCGTGGTGCATGGAGGTGGCTCTCCCTTTTGTGTTGCGTGCGTGCCCTAAATGCAATTATTTGGCTCCTACCATGTCTGATATTATTATTGTTCTTGCTATCTTTGGTACTTTTATGGCCCCATCACCATAGTAACTGAGCATCTCAAAACCCTGTGAGGAGGGAATAATATTATTCCCGTTGTAGAGTTGAGGGGCAAGCACAACAGTAAGGCATAGAGCTGGGGAGGACTTGGGTCCATCCATGGCCAGGGACTTGGGTATTATACTCCTGCTACTTCAAATTTTAAGCAGTCACACTAACTTTTCCTAGTCAGCCCCTGGCCACATTTCCATCCCACTTCTCTTCCTCCTTCTGTGAGTTAGTCTGATAACAGCCTCCACCCGGAGCTGCTCCCTCCTGGGCTGTCTTTTGCTCCACCCTGCCTGTAGACCACCAGCTGATGGGCACTGCCCAAGGCAGAGGAAGTGTTGGTTTGCTCTGCTGAAGACCTTTCCTTTGCACAGACTATTTGAATGCATCTCAGGCCAGCCCCTGCTCCTACGCATCTTTAAATATTGAATGAAAAACAGAGTAACGTCAGAGCCAGACATGTCAGATTTTCTTCATCCCTGACCTCTTCCAGAATAATTTCCACCCTGGAGGTTTAGCTGTTTTTCCTGAGAGACAGCTGATAGAAAGTCGAAAAGAGGGATTTGAAACCACATCCTCTGCAGCACAAAATAAAGATTCAACAGGTAAGGGTAAGCCAGTGTGGTGGCCAAATGACTGACCTGCATTTCCACCTACCTGCCTCTGGCCAGGCTGTTCTCCCCTTCCACGGGCACCTTCATCCAATGGGATGAGGCTGCTCCCTCCCTGGCTTCCTGCACTGCCAGCTCATGGCTTGTGGTGTTGCCATCATGTTTCCCAACACGTCGGCTCCTTACTGCCTTCCCTGCCTCAGGTTGTTCTGGAATAAAGCAATCTTCAATTATTTCTCTCCCTATTTCCCCCCTTTTGTGCAATATATCATTTTTTAATTAAAAAAATGCCTTGTGGAAGTGTAACGGGCTATTAAATGTTTTGGTCCATAATTAACATCAAACCCTTGACTTAAAATCTTTATGGATTGAGTGAGCTCCATTAGCTGTCACAGAAATAATGCTGCACAACTCTTGGAAGTCCATGGGCTTCAAATCACCCTTATTCTCCTGCAAAGGAGAAAAAAAAAGTCCTCACCAGGGACTCACTGCTCCTCTCCCTGCATTGTGAGCCACTCTGGGGCAAGCAAACCTCCCCTGCACCCAGCAATTCCCCCCTGGAAGAATATCAGAGTCCAGTGACAGTGGCAGTCCCATCCCTTTGCACAGGGGATGGCAGGATGCGATCCTGGAGGGAAGTTATCTCCCTGCACAAATAGCTCCCTGGTAAATACAGCAGCAGTGATGCTGGTGGCAGGCAAAGATAACACGGCACTAACTCTCCCGGGGATCGGCGCGGTGGAGGGGAACCCATCGCGGTGACAGGCACGGCTGATGGGGTGCTCTTGCAAGCAGACAGGAGTGAGCATGAGTTTACTGGGGACTTGCAGCACGTTTCTCACCCTCCTTCCCAGCTCCCAGGGGAAGGATGGCAGCTGGCAGGCTGCCTTGTGGTTTTGCGCTCGTGTTGCAGGTTGGAGGCAAACCCTGTCAGAGGAGACAGCAGGGTCCTGTGTGTTGTCCCTGCAGCACGAGCTAAGCAGGCACCACATTTCAGCTTGTGCTGGAGGCGTCTCCAAATCACTGCTTAACGCAAGCTGCCCCCCACCTCCAGGCCAGGTGTAGGGTGCTCGACTTCAACAGGTCACTGATCACCATTATTGGTGCATGCCCCAGGCACACATTTGCTGCCTTCTCGAGTGGACTCAGGGATTGAGGAATTTTGAATCCCCTGATGTTTCTCAGCATTTGCTGTAATGAATTAATAGCATTTCAAACCCTGGATCACCATCCAGCATTGGCTCTTAGCAGCAGTGACACATCTGTTGGGTCTGCTGGCAAATTTCAAGTGTATTTCCATTCATATTTTAAAGGTGGAAATTACATTGGAGCTGAAGAACTGGTCTTTGATACTGCTGGATTTTATGGATGACCAGCTCTTGTTTGAGCTGATGAGTGCAGCTGCCACCTTGCCAATTTATGGTATTATTCTTTCTGGGCATCTCCACTGGCACATTCATTATGGCTGTCGGACACAAAGTGACTCAATTCCGTATTCTTGGCTTTCTGAATGAAGCTGGAGTTAGGAGATACCACTGTTCTCATTAGGTCTCCTCTGTGTACTTAGCTATTAGCCTGCTCTTGCTAAGCAGCTCTGGACTGTCTTTCAGGCTTTGCTTGTGCATGGAACGAGCTGTCAATTCAAAAACCCTTGGCTGTATTTCATAGCCTGGCTGTCACTCAAGTACCTCACAACAGCGAGGACATCAGAAGCAGACATTCTCCAAGGTATGAGAAGATGGTCAACTTTCAGCACTTTTATGCTTTCCTCTTGAGCCTAAAATGAATTTTTCCTTGAAGGAATCTTCGTTCACCTGGGGCAGGATCCCACTGCATCCCCCAGTGCTACATTGGCATGGCAGCTTGGCCATCTACCATGACCCATCTTCTCCTTCCAGCTCCAGCTCTTGGATGAGGAAGAGAGCATGAGGATGAAAGCCAGGCTTTAGCACCGTGGAGGAGACACTCACCTCCCAAGCAAGACCTGCTTGGGACAGCACATCCCCATGATCTCAAACAAGCAAGATGTGCTGCCATCATGTCCAGAAGCCAGGCTGTTCCACAGGCACAACTAAGGCGATTGCAGTGTGAGAAAAGGAAGGCAGAAGCAGACTTGGCTCCATGGGCTACATTAAAATGATTCCAAGTCCTGGTGTGACCCCATTGTAGTGTGGGAAGGAACAGGCACCATCTTCCCCGTGGCAGGGCTTGCCTATCCCAAGGCATCCTAGGGGGTAACCAGAGTGATTTTTTAATAAACTAAATATTAGTTGCATCCCCAGTCTCCTCCTTGAGACTGATGCTGGGCAGTGAGGCTGAAAATTAATCGCTTACAGGGTTTTAATTTTTTTTTCATTATTCCTCCTTTTTCTTCTTTTTATTTGATTCTCATCTCAGCTGTAATAAACTTTAAGTCAACAGAATATGGCATATGCAGCAGGGAGTCTACTGGCTCCCTTCTGCTCTCCTCCACTTCACCAGTTCCATCTCTGTGGGTCAGCAGTAGTGTTTGCTGCACACAGCCAAGAGCCTGTGGAGAAAACAAAGCTGGGGGAGAGTCCAGTTTCTGCTGCTTTGTTTCCAACCCTGCCCAGGAGCAGAATAAACTCAAACAGGCACTGGTTCAATCAAGTCAACTTCTGCTGAGTCAGCGCCATTTAAAACTTGGCCTTTCCGAAAAACCGCAACTCTCCAAAACCCTGGCCAAGATTTTATGAGTAAATATAAAATGAATTAGGAGGCAGGTTTTAAAATAAAGGATTGCTCTTGGAATCCAGGGATAATAATAAGTCCTCAGGAGAACATAGAATCTCTTAATCTGTAGCCCAAAGGTGCAGGGTCAGCAGTGCAGTGTAAGTGATTGAGTTGCTCTTGGACACCTTGGTGGATCCCCCATCCTGGCCACTGGCACACCAGCTGCTGCCCAGTGTGGGCACAGCTGGGTTGGAAGGGTCCCTGTTTTTGTTGTTTTTTTTTTTTACCTCTCTGGTAGCAACAATCCTCTGAGCTGGCTGAAAAACATCTCAAGGCAAGACTATTCACTCAGAACTGGTGATTCAGCCCCACCCGATTGTCTGGAGAGAAGAGATTGGTTTCATTGTTGTTTTCAGCAAGGACATTATCAACAGGTTTCATTTGGATTGTGTCATTTCAGCTTGTCTGTGTGGCGTGGCTGCGATGCTCCGCTTCGTTTGTGTTGCAATCGAGTGACTGAAAGATGAGGGGAAAAAAGAAAATCCATTTTGAAGTATTTCTTTACTGCAAGAAAAATAACCCAAAATGTTGACTTGTGCCCCCAATCTGCTACAAAATCAAATTTTGCTGTCCTGAAAGTTCTCACAAGCTGAAATGCCTGGGATTTGGCCAGCCAGCTGAAGCGATTGCTGCAGGATGATCTCACTTTGGACAGTCCAGGAGCCCCAGGCAACATGTTGAAGGCACCACAGGGGCATGGAGAAGGTGCAGCCCTGCCCCAAGACAGCCCCTCTCCCCATGGATGTTTGCCAACCTGTCCCCGAAGAACATTAGTGTTTTTAGTGACAGAGCACCTCCACCTCCCAGGTAACCCACTGCCTGGCTCCACGAGCCGTTTCTGTCCTGAAGTCTAACCTGATTTCTCTGGCTGTAATTTAAGCCGATTATTTCTTGTCCTGTCCACCATGGACATAAAGAACAGATTATTCTCTTCCCTTTAGCAGCAGCCTTTTAAGCACTTGAAGACTGTTATCACATCTCTTCTTCCATCATCTCTTTTAGGCTAAATAACCCAGTTCTTTCAATCTTTCTTTGTAGGTCATGTTTCGTAGACCTCTGATCATCCTGTTTCCTCTGCGTTGCCTGCAGCAGCGCCACCTCCTTTTTGATATGAGCTGCCAATACCAGAATCTACTCCAGCATAGACCTCACCAGCCCTGAACAGATAAGAAAGATGATTTTGTGAGTCTTGCAGGCCATGCTGCAGCTCATATATCCCAGGGCACTGTCTGCCTCTTGATGCGACACTGATACTTTGTGTTCAGCTTGTGACCCGCTATAATTTGTAGACCTTTTTCTGGGGAACTACAGCTTGTAGGTTTGCTTTTTCCCATGAGGTTTTGGGGTTTTGAGCAAAAGGTAGGAATGAAGCATCCTGAACGAATGTTGTGTTCTCTTGTGTTTGTCGGTCCTTATTCTGGTGTGTTCATGCATTCAAAGCACACTTTTGGTCAGATTTTTGACTAGGCTGTGTGATACTTGGGTTGGATGCTATTCAGTCCGTGCTGAAGAAGCTTTATTGATGGTTCTTTAAGTTGCTGACTCCCATTGCCTCATAATTTCTAGTGTTTTATCTCATTTGTGCATGTCCTTTCACGGTCTAAGACATGCTTGTATTTAGCACCAGTTAATCAGCATTTTATGCAAAATACATGAGATTTTCAATTTTCTGCAGCCAACAGAGCATTGAAGTGCCTGTCTCCATCCCCCAGGACCTGTGTTTAGAGTGAGCTGGGCGGTTTTCCACAGCTTGACTTTTTCCCTCAGAAACTGGAGGTTTCTCTTCAGAAGGACTCACTAGTGGAAAGCTGAAGGCTGGTCCCTGGGGCTCAGACCTAAAGGGACTCAGTGTGAGGACTCCAGATGATCCTAGGGGAAGCACTTCCACCACCCAGCCACAGAGTCAGTCTCCAATTAATATTTAAATTTTTTATGCAGTGTGGAAAAGCCCATGACCCAGAGATGGGGCAGGACTGATCCACTGCTCAATGGGGCAAGGGGAGGAGGAGAGGAAGGACCCCTCCATGCTCCAGCTGAGCCTCTGAGCCTGAGTCGGAGCCAACCTGTCAGCAGACCTGTCTGATTGCCCATCCTCCTCCCCTGGGGCTATCCCAGCATCAGCTTTGTATTCCTGCAGGCAGCAGTGCTGGAAATCCCAGTCATGCGAAAGGTCTCGAGGGGAGAGAAACGCAGGTCACTGCTGGGACAGACGTTGCAGGCAGGGGAGCACATTCAAAAGTACTTGGGTTATGATAGTAATTGATGTGGACATTGCTGGTAATGGCAGAGCTGGTGCTTCAAGTAAGTGCACAGAGGCAGGAAATGAACCCCATCAATTTTTAAGATGTCAGCTGTTTCATGGGGCAGCTGCAGGGATGGGAACAACCGGACCTTGTTTGTTAGGCAGCTGGATACAAACACACTCCTCCCAT